ATTTAGATTCTCTAATGTTCAAACAGAATTATCAGTTATGTATTAATTTATATATAAAGAAAACAGGGCAATATGCAATACATCGAAACACCCGGAGATCTCTCCGTAACACGAATACTGCTATGAGTCCAGAAAAATAATTTTATTTCAACGTCCAAGGATCTAAGTACCGATAAAAAGATTTACTATACAAAATGTACTTAACAATGATTTTCCACTATGCAGTTCGGGGACTTCCGGCGGCGAGCGGAAACTGATGCCAACAATCGCCGAGGAAATGGACCGTCGATCATTCTTCTACAGCCTGCAGATCCGTGATGAGCCAGCACGTGCCCGGCCTCGACAAAGGCAAGGCAATGTATTTCCATTTCATCAAGTCGCGAATCCAGAACGGGGGCCTTCGTGCCCGGCCGTCTCCAGCTGATTACAAGAGCCGCCACTTCATCGAGCGCCCGTTCGACCCGTTCACCATCTACACCAGCCCGACCGAGGCCGTTCTCTGCCCCGACTCCGACCAAAGCATGTACGCCCAATTACTCTGTGGACTTGCTCAAAACTCCGAAGTGGTCCGGGTCGGGTCAGTTTTCGCATCCGGGTTTATCCGCGCAATCCGGTACCTGGAGACCCACTGGGCAAGGTTTTGCCGTGACATTCGGACCGGAAGGGTCGATCCGGGTGACCGACCCTTCGGTTCGGGCTGCGGTCGAACGTGTTATCCGCCCGGATCCGATACTGGCCGACAACATTGAGGCTGAGTGTAGGAAGGGTTCGTGGAAAGGAATAATTCAGAGGATTTGGCCTAATACCAAGTATATTGAGGTGATCGTCACTGGGGCTATGGCACAGTACATACCGACACTTGATTACTATAGCAACGGTTTGCCTCTGGCTTGTACTATGTATGGCTCGTCTGAGTGCTACTTCGGGCTCAATCTGAACCCGATGTGTAAGCCTAATGAGGTTACTTACACCTTGATCCCAACCATGGCTTACTTTGAGTTCCTACCGACGAACCGGTCTGAATTCGACGCGAAAGATTTGGTGCCTCTCACCGATGTCAAGCTCGGTCACGAGTACGAGCTCGTCGTCACAACTTATTCTGGTCAGTGCTAAACTTGTCAGCATAATAATGATAGTTATTATCAATTATTATTTTTGCAACAAAAGGATATATTTCTAAACTATGGTGTTCTTGTAGGTCTATATCGATATCAAGTGGGCGATGTTCTAAGAGTCGCCGGATTCAAGAACAAATCTCCCCAGTTCAGCTTCATCCGACGAAAAAACGTCGCGTTGAGCATCGACTCGGACAAAACCGATGAAGTCGAGCTACATAACGCGGTCACAAACGGAGTGAACCATCTTGAGCCATTCGGTGCAACCCTAGTCGAGTACACTAGCTATGCAGACACAACTAGCAATCCCGGCCACTATGTTCTCTATTGGGAGCTTCGCGAAGGAGGAACTCCGGTGCCTCCGTCAGTCTTTGAAGACTGTTGCTTGGCTGTTGAAGAGTCGCTTAACAGTGTTTATCGACAAGGGCGAGCGTCTGATAAGTCTATTGGACCTTTAGAAATTAGGATTGTTGAAGAGGGGGCTTTTGATAAATTGATGGATTATGCCTTGAGCCAAGGTGCATCTATTAATCAATACAAGGCACCAAGATGCTTGAAGTCCGAGGTTATGATTCAGCTCATGAATGGAATGGTGAAAGACAAATTCTTTAGCCCAAAATGTCCCAAATGGGTTTGTGGACACAAACAATGGATTAAGGAAAATGGGGGTATCTAAGGAGAGAATTAAGTTTAGAAGGACGATGATGAGATTAAAATCTTTTGCAATTTTTTTTTTCCTTTTTCTTTTTAGCTTCTATGTAGGAGTTAATTAAGGTAGGGGCTCAGCTATGTACAAACTTTTCACGTTTGAAGGAAGCCTTTCTTAAGTCTATAAATCTGTAATTGAATGAGCTTCCTTTTGCTGCTTTTGTGTTTGTTCACTTCTCATTCATGCCAACAATTGTGCCCACCAAAATGTCATGGGCTCCTTTATGAAAACAGTTAGCTAACATTTTCCGACATGAACCTAACTTCGAATTTTTAGTGATCTTTTTAGAGAGCAAGGGAGTGTGCTTGTTTCTCTATAACTTAGTCTAAAAACGCAAAATAATCACATGGTTTCCATGGGGAATTTGTGGTTGCTGGGTATTATCTAACTCCCTCAACTACATGTTTTAAATCTGCACTCTTCTTCCGACTTGTTCCGTGCTTTGGAGAACAAAATATTTTGTTATACCTACAAAAAAATGCTCATGGCATTTGGATGTGATTAGATTAGTAATGTAAATAAACACGGTACTTTTGTGTGGTTCGCATAAGTTTGTCACAAGCATATCCTTGTTTTGGTTGTTAATTTCTACGCAAATTTTCTCCATGCACAATTCAATTTTATGACTTCAATTGAATATAGAATAAAGTAACCGGAGTCAATATCCTTTTAGAATTTTTTTTTTCCCCTTTTTTATCAAGCCCCCTACGTTTTGTAGGGCTAATCTCAATGCCCCTCTTGTTGTCCACTTGATGCCTAAAGGTAATTGTGTCTCCATCCAAAGGGATGGGATGCCTAGTTTATGTGCAACCTTACATAAGAAACTCATTCAAGGTACCACATTACAAGACAGCCATTAACTTCTCTTTTTTTAAACATGTGTCACTAAAAAAGCAAGTAGAAATTTTTGTACTTTGAATTAGTCCTAGCATAATCTTTAACCACATAAATAATGCTAGAGATTGGATACAAATGGCACAAACGCTCAAAAGTTGTGGAGAGAGATGACCGCTAGCCAAGATTGGATGTGGGTGAGTTATGTCTCTGATGTCAAGCTACAAAAAAAAAAAAAAGGGGAAAGATTCTTGACGTACAAAAGCCGTTGTCTCTGAATAAAATGTCTTATAAGGTTTCACATGATAATATCAATGAATATGGTTACGAGACATAGATAATGAAATGACCAATTATTTTACATTCTTTATCTGCTTTTTGAGCAGGATTCCTGTTCTTGAGTCCTGCCAAACATAATAAGGAAAGTTTGTAGTTCCCCAAACAAAACAAGTAATAAACAAATAATGTTGAGATCTCGGAGAAAAATATAGGAGAATTTTTTGAAATCAACCATTTTGAGAATTTAATCAGCAAAAACGACCTTCTTTGTTAAAAATGAGCAAAATCAATCGTTTTGTGCCCGTGATCGACCACTTTTAGCCCTCACGGGCAGAAAACGTTCGATTTTGCTGAAGGTTTTTTTTAATTACACGGGACTACTAGTCCCGTGTAATTAGAGCATGCTAATCCATCATTAGTTATGCTAATGAAATAAAAAACGGACGGGATTGCTAGTCCCGTATAGTTTGGCCGCTTAATTAAGGTTTTAAATTACACGGGACTAGTAGTCTCGTGTATTGTAGAAATTACATTTTCATTAGCAAAATCCACCGTTCTCTCACGACGACCGGTCGATTTTGCTAATTTTTTCCTAATTAGATCGGTTTTGCTGATTAATTCTCAAAATGGTTGATTTCAAAATTTTGTCCAAAAATATATATAGAGGCTCTCTATGTACGTGATATCGTACACAGTTATATTTGTTTAGCGGTCAATTATCGAGTAGCAATATAATTACTATTGATGTAATTAGAATATTATGTCACATCAATTATCAATGCAATCAAACTACTGTACTGGCAGTCATCAATATTAAAATCCATGTTCCTCGAGCGTTGTCATCTCCTTAATTTCTCCGTTTATGGTTTTCGTTCGGTGCAGAAGGTTTTCTTTTCTCAACTCTCCATCCGTTAGAACCAGAAAATTGGATTTAATACGCCAGAGGCCTAATAATTGGAGGCCCAAAGCTTGCAAGCTCTCAACGTGATGAAATTTGTTAAATGACATGGCTTCTAGATTTTCACGGTTAGCTGTCAGGTGAAGCTTTTTGAGTCTGCTTAGTGCTCACCTTTTGAGTTTGGTGCACACCGCACCTACTTTGCTTCGGGATAAGACCTAACTCTTACTCTCTTAATTTCTCTGAATCATAAATTTTCATTGAAATTCTAGACAACGCTAAGTCGTTGCGTTTCTAAATTAGACATCAAACGTCATGTACATAATCTGCACTAAAGTCAATGGGACTGCAACAACGTTTTGCCACCTATGTATCTGACAATGGCAAATGAATCTCGGTCAGCTCGTGAGAAGCAAGTTTTGTAACTACAAGATATTTTTCGGTTTATCTCCGTATATATATGGATTAGATTGAATTAATAAAATGTTTAACTCCCCGGCGCCCTTGGATATATGTGTGCACGCATTATATAGAAGCTAGGCCGAGCAATTAATGCGAGGTGCATAAGGGATGGGCGTTGCCGTAAATGATGCATGTACGTAAAATTTTTGGTGTAGTATAAAAACGGAGGGGGTATTGATGACGTGGCTGACATTTTAGTAAGGTGGGCCCCCAGCTGAGGGAATGAGGAGAACAACATTCCACGTGCGGTATGTTCATCCTCATGTTAGTGCCGGCCATTAGGAGCTTAATTTTTTTTATCCCTTTGTCCCCTTGTTGTCTTCAATTCCCCGCATATAAAGAGTCTTGAGAGATATTTTAGGGTCAAAATTCTAGGGTGAAATATTTGTTACTAATTAGTTGCCAACAAGGGTTTGTAAGTAGGGGGACAAGCCAAAAATGGCTAAAGAAACAAGAACATATTCTGATTTAAACTCTTGAGATGAAACTTACCAGTAAGGCTACTCTTAATTAATTTGTAGAGTCTAAGATGACTCGGGACATGTGTTGGGTTAAAGAAACGATCGAATCATCAGATCTAGTTGTGTTTTGTGGGGGATGAGATCATAAGTGATCACTCAGTTAATTGACAGTATGTTAAAAATACAAATTAATTTATCTATAAAAAACTTGGAAACTCAGAACTAATTGGTATTATCTTATACAAGTGTTACGCTTGTGCTCGCATGGAGGGGGCATCATTCATCAATGAGAGTTAATGTACAAAGCCATAAATACTTAATCGAGTCTTGCAAAACAAAAAATTTGTGAGAATCATTAAAAATATTGTAATTTTTCTTTTTATTTACGACATTTATTATAAATATTGTTGAATTCAATTTTTACTGCATGTTAGAATAGTTTTTTTTTTAAGACGGGAGCGGAGGAATTGGAAATATTACAATGTTAACCATCCTAGAATTGTATTTGTTTACATTTTTTATTTAGTAAGAAAAAGGATTGAGAAGGCTAAAAGAAGCAAATTTCCACACTTTGTGACCCTTTTAAGTGAGGGAAATATGAAATATTAGCCATATAATTCCCCCTCCCTCCCCAATTTTCTACTCTAAAAAAAATACAAATTACAGTTTACCCTCTCTTTGTCTAGTTATCTATCCAAATACAATTAGTTCTTATACATTTCTGTTGGGAATTTAACGCCTAAATCCCTAATGCAACAGAAACGCAGAATAGAGAAAGTACACCAAGATATAACGAGGTTCGGCAACTGCCTACGTCCTCGGGAGCCACACAGTCAATTTCTTATTAATCAAACAAGAAATTACAAATCAAGAGCAAATCCCAAAACTGAGATTTCTCAAAGATGAACACTGTAGCTACAATGTTAATAATTAAAGGGAATAAACCCTTTCAATTCTCTCTCTCTCTCTAAAGTCCTTTCTTAATCTCCCCTCAATGCACGGTTGAGAGCTGGAGATGAAGAACCAAAATCGCTGCTGCGATTTCAAGGTTTGGAGAAGAGGAACGCTGCTGCGTTATTTTTGGTGCCGCCGCCAGAGAGAAATCAGAGGAGGAGAAGCAACAACAAAACCCTAGGGCGTCGGGGGGTTTATATAGGCAAACATGACAGGCTGGCGACAACCTGTCGCCAGCCACGCGAAGACGCGGACGTCGGAGCGCCAAAACGCGGACGTCAGAGCTTGGACGCGAGGGTCGGTGTCCCAAACGCGAGGGTCGGTGTCTGAAACGCGAGGGTCGGAGTCTGAAACGCGAGGGTCGAATTTCCCAAACGCGAGGGTCGGATCCAAAACGCGAGGGTTGCGTTTCCCACAATTTGAGCTCGCCTGCTCGAGCTCTACCTGAAACTGCTGCAGTTCGCCGTCGACTTCGCCTGAGTCGACGCCTTCGCTCGCCTGCATGGTTCTCAAGCTCGTCGGAGCTTCGCCGGAGCTCCTCGCCGGATTTGAGGTTTGATCTACACCCCTTTCTAATAATCTCCCACTTGGAGATCAAACCGCCGTCAACAGGCTATCTCATCAAGCTCCTCTTCTGTGTGGCTCCGCTCTCATCATCTATACATGAAGGCCAACTGAAGTTGCGCACAACTCCAGTTTCTGAGAGGTCACTACCTCTATCAACATATCCGCTGGATACTTTCTTCCTTGGATATTCTGTTGAAATCCTTTGATAATTCGTCGGGCTCTGTATCTTCTGGAACCACCATGTTTCTTTTTCACTCGATACACCCACTTGTTGTGACATGTCTTCTTCTCCATGGGCAACTTAGCTAGTTCTCATGTCTGGTTGGAGATCAGAGATTTCATCTCTTCTTTTGCAGCAAACTCCCACTTGCTCGCATCTCCACTCTGACAAGCTTTATCAAAGCTTTCAGACTCTCCTCCATTTGTCAGCAACATATAATTCATGTATCTGTTGTTAGGCACAGGAGGACGAGTAGTTCTCCTCAATATCGGAGCTGGTGCGTCGGGCTCCTGCGCACCGTTCTGTCCAACAGGCTCTTCTGGCTGAGGACCTTCTGCATTGGGTTCTTCAGAGAGGTTGTCTGGGACATCATCTGTTTCTACAAATGTTGACTCGCTCTCTGAGTCACTGGAATCTGCCTTGTGCATGTCCTTATACATCACCTTCTCGTTGAATATCACATCTCTACTCTTGATCACCTTCTTGTTTTCGTTGTCCCAAATG